TCTCTCTCTCTCTCTCTCTCTCTCTCTCTCTCTCTCTCTCTCTCTCTGTCTGTCTCTCTGTGCTTTTCGTGTTTTTTTTATCGTTTTCCTGATTTTCTTTCTCACTTCAATCACATGTATTAAAACTTGAAACAAAAGAACCACACCAAATAACCTTTCAGATGGCTTTTCAAGCGAAGAAAAAAGAGAAAAAAAACGTGATTTTTCTGTGTGAACATGAAAATCGGACGGAATTTTTTTTTTCCTGTTAACACTAAGACATTTTATGTTATTGTCTGCAATCGGTTCTTTCTTGAATTTCAGCCGTTCATCCATCGAGTTGAGGTGTGCATGTGTATATCTGTGTGTGATATTTTGCAAAGTTTTTCAACGTGACGTTAGTCATTACATTTTTTTTTTCGTATTCATCTTCATCTGCTTAAAGTTCATGTGAACATTCAATTGCACTGGATGCAAAACTTTTATTCACACGGTGATCAATGGTGTGAGTATTTGATGAACATGTGAACGAAGAAAAAAAAACATATTTGTGCACAGTGCACACGCTTTGAACTCCCTTGTTTCTCAGTTTCATTCTCTCTCTCTCCCTCTCTATCCGCCTTTTTCTTCCTCTAGTTAAATGCTACGGTGAGAGAATCTCATTGCCGAACAACATTTTTCCAGGTGAAAAACCGATATATCAGAGTTGTCTTGTCCATCACCCCCAAACCGAAATGTTCATTGGATGAGCGTTTGACACAGTCGGCTCAAGCACCAATCCCATAAAACCTGTGAGAAGAAATCCAAGTGCCATTCAATTTCATTTCTTCTGTATTTTTATTTGCCATTCTTTTCGGTTTAAAGTGGCGAAATGTCACAAACAATGAAAATTCGCTGAGAAAATCGGAGTTGGCCCAAACCAATTTCTCGTCTATGCGATACACGAAAAGAAGGAGCAGAGAGAGAGAGAGAGAAAAAGCATCACCACCAAAAGAAGAACCGATTTTTATATAAACTCTGAACAATTCATCAAAGCGCCTCTCATCAGTCGATCCAATTCAATACGCTGAGATTCTTTTCTCGCACACACACACACACACACACAAACACACAAATGGGAAAGGCCGAACGAGCAAGAGAACATAAACCGAAAAGTATAATTCATAATTAGAATCACTTGTTATAAGCGGCAAGTAAATAATAGCAGTCAAAAGGAACAAAGGCGCACTAACACATGAACTCTCTGTTCGAACGAAAGCAAGAGAACGAATGAGTGAAACTACACGAACATAAAAGGACATCGAGAATGAGGCAAGACACAAACATAGAAAAACAAGACCGCAGATCGTCGCTTCGCTCCGCTTCCCTCCGCTCTGCGTTCTTGAAGCTTGTAAATTTAAGGGGTTTAATTAATTTGATGTTTCTCATCAAATTATTATCGTAAGCACTACATGGAATGTAGTTTTAATCGTTGGAAATGTCTGTTTCACAAGTTTTAGTTATAAATCATTTTAATATTGTCAATAATAATAAAATAAATTCATATGATGATATTGTATTCTTCACTTATGTGTTTTATGTACAATGTACACTGTACGTTCAATGTGAACGGTCATCGTACATAATTTCACATTGGCAATGAAAAAAGTGTAAAATATTTTTTTTTCTTGAGTTATCTCAAAATTGAATTACATGAACATGATATTATTTCATTTTTGCAATCGGGCGTAATTGTTTCATTTGAAATAACAAATATGGATATTAAAATGAATTAGTTTACGGTCCAAAAAAAATGGCCTAAAGAGTCTTAAAATTTTCTCGTAAAAAAAGTCACTACAATAGCCTAAATTCCATGTAGTGCTAAAAAGGAACAAAGAAGTAGACGAAAAGAATTGTTTGTTTCGATTATACGTGTGCGTGTATTTGTTTGTTTTGTTTCTTCTTCTCTTCATCATCATCATCGTCATCGTTGCTGTTTCTCGTCGTTCGTTGTCGTTTTCGGCCCTCGATGGTTCGATCGTACGAACAAGAAGCGGAATAAACGATGCAAACGATAGATGAAAGAAAAACAACAACACTCACACACATCCATGCATACACAAACACACAAGAGACAAAATAAGAAGAGAAGAGAAAAAAAAAACACAGAAAACGATCGGTAACAAGGTATAAATTGTATTTATCGATTTCGTATGTCAGTTGATTTGTTGTTGTTTATCGATCCTGCGCTTGTATCAAGAGCCATTTCAATTTCATATATATACTACTTCTTCGGCTCGAATAGTTACACTGCAGGCATCTCCCTCTCTCACACTCTTTATTCGTCTCAGCATCATTGGATGCGTTCGCACGTCTGTGTGTGTATATATGCGGCGCGCGGATTGTGTGCATGCAATGTTGTTCACAGTGAATGTATGAGAGCAGCTCAATTCCTGGAAAAGAGATCGCTTGGATCAAAGCATGTTATGTATTTAATTCTCTGGTTATTTTTTTTTCTCTCCGTTGATTCGATTTCTTTCCCATTCCCTGTGGCTCGTTTCAATTTATAATCACACAAAACGCATTGATACAGAAGATACTTAATTCAAATTGCTGTCTGTAAATTCAGATCGTTTGATCACTTCTCTTGCCTCGATCTCTCTCTCTCTCTCCACCGTTTTTTTTTGTACATATATGCGTTCATAATTAATAGATCGAATTTCAGGGTATTACATTCTTCAAAACGTCCTTTTAAGACGGATGAAAAAAGAAAACAGTTGAAGAAACGAGAATTAACGAACCCAAACACAGAGAAGAGGGAGAGATAAAAAAAAGATGATTCTTGAATTGTTTGGTTCGGCCGGTTCGGATTAAAAATGACATTAGATTTAAAAATTAAATGGCCAATTTTTCATGTGGCTCATCAAGTGTCCCATGTGGTTGGAGGGTTTTTTCCCATTGTTTCATTTGTCGTTCTTTGTTGTTGTTTTATGCAATTCGAAAATTAATTGAAACTCATTGATTTTTTTTTTCTCTTCTCTCTTTACAGTCACAATACAAAAACAACCCAATGGGAAGACCCGAGAAAACAAATGAACACACAGCCAACATTGACACATAGTGCAGAATCGTTACTTGTATCAACTGCTCCAGGTAAGATTCATTTCCAAATCGGTTTTTTCTTCGAATATCGACCGAGTCCAGTTGAGAGACAATGCGGATTTTTTGTCGTCATTCAACTGTGGATAGTTTGATGTTGCGAATTAACGAATATATTTTTATTTTGATTGTAAGGTCAACACCGACGACAAATTCAACCGCTTCAGCAATCGCAATTCGTTTCAGCAATTCGGCAGCAGCAGCAGCAACAACAACAGCAGCAGCAGCAACAACAATTACAACAAACAAGTAAGTAGGAGTTTTCTATCTGAAATGAAATTTGAATCGTTCGCTTTTTTTTCGTCCTCTTGAACGATGAACATATGAAGAGAGAAAAGAAAAGAAAATGCGATGGCCATCTGAGAAAAGTCATTATAGAAAAAAAAAAGCAACAACTCATCACATATCACGCTATTAACGCCGTCACAAACATCAAGCAGCAGAGAAATAAAAGCATGTACGCGTATGTTTGTGTGTATGCGTAAGCGAGGCATCAGACAAAATAAAATTCTGTCGTTTGGTGCATGCGTTGTTGTGTGAGAAGTGCAATAAGTAAACAATTTACACACAAATGAAAACGCATTAATTGCATTTCATTTTCGCCGTATGGGTTGGTGGAAGGCATTCACTTGAATTGGCCAAGCCACAAGTAATAACACACAGAAATTTATTATATAAATAAATGGCGAATGCGACGGCGATGTTGAGGCGCGTATGAGAACGCACCAACAGCCTGACACACATATATGTATATCAACAAAATGATTTTGAATTGCGTGTGCCGAGAATAAAATACGCGTTGTCGTTTGCAAAGAAAATGAGGCGTCCGAAAGGTGCGGGCAATTTGTGGTATGTGTGTGTGTGCTTCTTTTGCCTCAGTCGCTTACTCGCTCTCTCGCCTTTTCTCAAATGCATATTTTGCAACAACAACAGCAGCAGAGCAGGAATCAGAATCAAAAAGAGAAAAAAAAACACGTCAGAATAGAACAATCTAAAGTGAAATGAGAGGATAGAGTAAGTGCTTTAGCTCCATGGCTCTATGCGCATTAACAACAGATGAAATGTTTGCGAAATTACCCATGTCAACAAATGATTGTAACATTGCCCCGTTTGAAAAAGTCAATTATTCCAAAGAGAATCAAAGAACGAGGCGTAAATTCTTGCAGATTTTTATACCATTGTGCTTTCAAGCAGTAGTGGAGAAGTTACTTACTCAAATATACACTGTACTTCAGTACAATTGATTGGTAAATAATCATGGCGGCTCCATATTATTGCAAAAAGCACAAATGGTATAAAGCCTTCACACATTCTTTGGAGAAGAAAAAAAAACATTTGCTTAAGATTAATTTTCGAGCATACTCCATATTTTGAGAGTTACAATCCATCCAAGTATGTAGGGTGAAAATTGCTTGAATACATTTTCCGGTTTTCCTTTGCACAGTTGAACTTTATTCTTTCGAATGGCCGTGAAATTGAAATGAGAGCAAAGGAGAAACAATGAATCCCACTATTTATTTGCTGACGTTAGAATAGCAACAAATCGGAGTTGTTGCTCCTTTTTGCTTGACTTTGACTTGTGTTCCACTGTTATCAAACAACAAACTGCTTCAATTGAGCGACAACTTTGTGTTTATTTCTGTCGTTGTTGCTGTGTTTTTTCTTTGTTTCCTTCCTCCTACATCTTCTTCCACGCTTCAGTTCAAAATGCCCACAATGAACTCTTTGAGAGAGAGAAATTGCATCAGTCAAGGGTGAAGCGCAAAGAAAGAAACGAAATTGACGGTTGAACGCAGTCAAACGTAACATACGTAGTTCATTTGCACTGCATGTTTTTGTTGTTGTTGCTATTTTTTGTGATTGTTTACATCGAGCTGTGGTCTCTATGATCGGATCAGATGCGGCTTGCCTGATGTTCAATGCAACCAGACACATCAACAGCGTGCAATAATTCCAAAGTCCACTGGTCGTCGTCTTATTGATATGACTGAACTTTCACACAAAACGAAGGCAAGCACACACACCGAAAACAGAAAAAGAAGAAAAAAAAACGACAATAACAGAGAACACAGTGACGACGAGCGCTTGATTGCGCTAAAAAGAGAGAAAAAAAAATCATACACACACACTGAAATAATGACGGCATGAAGAAGAAGAAAAAAAAACACGTCAACACGATACACTTATTTTGCTGTGCCTCTTTTGCCACACTGTTGCCGGTTACTACAGGCGATTTTTATTTTGTGTTGATGAGAGTCTATTTTTGAAGCACTCTAAATATAATTTCCCGTCTCTGCGTTTTATCGCTGTCTCTTTTTCGCCGTTGAATCACACACTGATTTGAAAATCGGTGGATCGAGGTGGATTATTTCATATTTCAGTTTTTTTTTTCGTTCATGATTTTTTTTTTCTCGTCATTCGACGACTACCACTGCTGTTGCTGCTTCTCACTTGTTGTATTTCGTCGTCGCTGCCGTTGTCTTCTTCTTTTTTTGTCGGTGTGATCATTTTCATTCTGACAATACGTAATCTAAAAATAAATGTATACATTTGTAAATGGCAATACAAGAAGAAGAAGAAAAGAAGAAAGAAAAAAACACACACACAGTACATCGATAAAGAGAAACTTTTTAGCGTAGTTTATTATCAATAAACGGTTGATAATGAAGCCGCTGCCGTTTTCTGTTCTTTCATGCTGAGCTCATTTTTCAATTCTCAGTGTCTTTTTTTATCGAATCGTAAACGCCGTTATCAGGAAATTATGGTAACGTTTTGACTTCTTCATGGGCTTTTTTTTTGTCTAATTTCTTGTTTTGTGGTTCACGTACTGTCATCAAACAACTGAAATCACGTCTACGAGTAGATGTGTCTTGGTGTTTTAAAGTATTTTCTAACGTGAGCTCATCCATTTAATGGCACACTAATCGGGAAATTGTCGTTCATTTTTATGGCTACACCAATTGTTTTTTTCTTCTGTTCAAGTTCAAGGAAATGCAAAAAGGAAACCAATAGCAAAACAAATGAAATGAATTGTATTTGCTAATGTGTTTTGTTTTTTTTTTCTTACTTGCAGCCGCTCCAAAATCGCAGCCACCAAGTACGGGCTTGGGTCCATTACCGGAGGGCTGGGAGCAGGCAATTAGCAGTGCTGGTGAGATTTATTTTATCAATCACACTACTCGTTCTACGTCATGGTTCGATCCAAGAATACGTACGTATTATAATTGAATCGTGGGAATGCCGTTCTTCATCTCTATTACTAAGCCCATCAAATTTGAACCTCAATCGAATGAAAAAAAAAAAATAAACATACACTTGGCTTATGCGCTGATTTTTCATATATATCTTCTGTTATCTTTTTTCTGTGCAGCGGAACAATTTCAACGAGCCACCACACTGAGTGCATCTAGAGTCGAAATGAATCCAAATATATTTAATATCAGTATTCATCAGCTGAAGCGTGAGGTTGATTCATATAAGCAGCGTCAACAGGAAATTGTGTCATTCGATCAAGTAAGTACTATCGGCGGTGCCATCTCGGTTTTCTTTTTATTTCTTACTTTGTCTTCGATGAAATATGCTTTCTACGATGAAATCATAAATAATGGGGGGGTTTTTTTCTCTGTGTGTGTGTATTGTAGGATTTTGTAGCACGGCAAAGTCAACAGACGATCGGCCTGCAGATGGATCCATTTTTGTCGGGTGGCACTGATCACACTCGTCAAGAGTCTGGTGACAGTGGTCTAAGTCTATCATCAAACAACTATTCAATGCCACACACGCCCGATTTTCTTGGCAATATGGACGACAGCATGGACTGCATTAGTGGTATGTACATAAGAATCACACCAAAGTTCAATCAACAATCTTCTTAACAACACCATTTTCAATTGAATTTTTCAGAAAGCGGTACAATGGAATCGATGAGTGCCAATTTAGATGCAACAGATGACTTAGTACCATCATTGCAACAGGTGAACATAATCGAATTTTGGAGCATTAATCTGTTTATTTTCAAAGATTTGCCTCCGTTGAGAACAATTCCAATAATTCATGTCCATTTTCTTCCGTCTCTTTGTTTATTTCAGTTGGGTGATGGATTTGGCAATGATTTGCTTGATGATAATTTAATGCACAATTTAATAGATACTCAAAACACGAAACCGTTGACTTGGATATAAGAACCGAATTGGAAAATTTCTGTGAAAAATTCGAAGAAAATGAGAACGAGTCACCACCAACACATATACATCGATTAATTAAACAGCTAATGAAAGAAGAAGAACGAAAGAAAGAGAAAATTTTAATGAGAAAACTACACTCCTTCCTCTACTCCCCTCTCATTGATGCGTGTCTTTTCTAATCGAATAAAAAAGCAACAAAACAAATTCTATGCTAAATTGCACATAACTGCTCAGTCAACACAAATAAAATACAGGATAACACACGAAAATCAAACAAACCAACACACACACACACACACAACACACATCAAATGTTTGTAGACACAGAGTGAAATGCAAATCTGGTACTCAATCATCTGTTTGATTTTTCTTTACTTAAGTCATCGGTTTAGTTTACATTGCTAGGTTTTAGTTGATTAGGACAAACAGAAGGAAGAAAAAAAAACATGTTACGACAAAATGAAGAGAAGAAATAGAGAAAGAAAAAACTAGAAAAGAAAGAGGAAAAAAAATGAAATTATGTAGTAAATGAACATAAATATTGTTATCGTGTAGTAATCATGTTAATTAACGGTTCAAAACAGTGACTTTTGATCCGATGATTTGTGGTCGATACGGGCGAATAGCACACTGCACAGTCACGTGCCCGCCACACACACACACACACACACACGCGTCGATAACAGCAACAATAACAACCGGGCGGGGGAAAAAAAATATATGAATGAAGCAGTAGAACAGTTTCGATCATTAAAAAAACACACACACACCTTGAATGAGACAAACGAGATCTTTGAAGCTGTGCGGTAATTTTTTCCCTACCCGGGAGAACTCAAACGACTGTATGTTTCATTTTGAGTGAGTGTTTTCTTTCCTCTGTCGCCGATAATTTGAACTTGAACACTGTGCCCGCATTCGTTTGAAATTAATTTCCAATGAAATTTTGCTCAAAAATTGACGATCTTTTGACATTTTCTTCTTTTTTTTTACAACAAACCAACAATTTCGAAATTCATTTCACTTATTTTCGTGGGCGAATGAATCTCAAATTCGACATTTTTGGGCAATTTTTCTTTTCATTTTTCAAATTGCAACAAAAAAAAACACCATTTGCGTGGATCGTAAATCGTTAATGCAATTTTTTTTTTTTGAAATACACACAACATTTGTTTGGATTTAGCGGTGCCAAAATTTCGTATTTTGGCACTTGATCGCTCAATTTAAGATTTATTATACAATTTTTGTGTTATTGTTGCTGTTTTTTTTTAGATTGAACAAAGCACAGCGATAATTATTCTATAAATTGTGCAAAATTGCAACAACAACCCAAAAACACTGTTAAACATACACATGTCTATATTGTGCGGTTGTCTGTTTCTAAAATCAAACTATCCAAAATGCGGAACACACTACATAAGGTCATATAGAGTCATCGAAAAATTTGTGCAGTTAAAATAGAGAGGAGAAACACACAAACACAGTGACATATATATATATATATATATATATATATATATCCACACAGCTAAGAAAAAAAAGAGATATCCAATGCAACAGTACTAGCAAAAATATTGTATAATATACATTTTAAAGTTGCAATTAAGTCGTTTAGTTTTTTTTTTCTCTCTCTCTCTCTCTCTTTCTCTTTTCTCTAGTGTATAGTTTATAATTCGTGTATTACAAGGTGTGTTTTTATAGGCGAAACCAATAGTGGTTTATCGTATTATGTGGTAATTGGCCACTAATATCGTCAAATCGTTTTGAGTCATAGAAAATGTGCCTTTTTGTTGTTTAAGGGAGAGCAATGTTAAGCACTTGATGTATACACAATGCACGTTAGTGCGTGCATAATTGGCGTGCGTGCGTGTGTTACGAGTGTAAAGTAATGTTTCTTTCGTGAACAAAACTAAAATGAAAGCAATCAACAAACGAAGAAAAAAAAACCGTAAATTAAGAATACGCATACAAAAGTAACAACAACAATTAAAACAAGAAAGAAAAAAACCTTAAAAGTGTAGCACATAAAAGCAAGACACCAAAGTCATCTAATTTCAATATGTATGAAAATTCTGAATTGAAAGAGAATATCGAGACATTTTATAGTCGTTTCATATATTCGAGAACGTCCATAAAATATAGAGAACCGAAACAAAACAACAAATGAAACAAACATTTATATAAAACGAACAAAGTGCCTTAATCCATTCAAGCTCGTGGTTTATCTTGATATGTGCAAAAAAACAAAAAACAAAACGAGAGATATGAGATATAGTAAAACAGTGTCTTATTTTCATTGCGGTAGTTTATTATTATTCTAAATGTGTAGTAGTTTTGTTTTCGTTTATTTCCGTTTTATTTTGTATACAATTTTTTTGTTCTATGATCTTATTATTGAATTTTGAATGGTATGATTTCCGATCCGGTTTCGGTTTTATTTGTGACGCCGGAAGTCATATTATCCCCCTCCCGATGACGAACCGTACAGAATGTATAAAGAGAATGTTTGAATTGTACGCACAGCAAAGCAAAACCGGAATAAAACTGATGAGGAAAGAAAAAAAAAATGCGATGAGAAGAGCAATTCATGAAAGAAAATTGTGCGATAGATGAAAAAAAAAAACTAGAAGAAGAGAAAAAAAAATCACACAATTTGTGAAACGAATGGGAAATATTATCGAAACAAAACAGAAAAAAAAGTGAAAATAAACAAATGATGTGCCTTAAGTATGTATGTATATTCACGGGACGAATTCAAAGTTTGATAAGGAAAATGGACGAAAAATGAGCAAAATGATAAAAAGTAAATAAAATGCGTGAAAAGAAACGAGATGAAATTAATAGGAAAATGAGAATAGCAACGAAATGGTAAACGAGACAAGCAGTCCGCCTTTTTTTTATATATATATACATATGTGTCACGTTTCTCTTTTTCTTTTCGTCTAAAGTATACTTGTAAAATATTCATATTTACTTAGATGTTATTGCGTATTATAGATTGAAAACAAGAAACAACAGAAATGAAAACAAATAGATAGCTATTTTTAATGCAACATTGTATTACGATTTGAAATATCGTTTTAGAATTAATATCACACAACAAGTTTTTAGCCAGCAATAACTTTGATAGAGTTTGTGACCTTTTTTTTATAGGAAAGACTTTTTAAAATGTTGACACAAAGTCAAGCAAAATATATTCACACCCATTTTAAAGTATATATATATATATATATATATATATCATATGAGTATAAAGCAAGATACACACGTACGAAGATAAGAATAAGAATGGAAATTCCATTCTTGTTTCTTTGTTGTTTAGTCCTTTTTACGTTTTATTTATGAGCTTTCAATGTGTCTTCATCGTTTTTTTTTCCTTTTCTTTTTGTTTTCGAGTCGACCATAGACAAATGTATGCGTTGCTTTTGACAATTGAACTGCATCGAAATGAGGTGCGAACTGCACCGGAACGCTTTTTTTTGTGTTCACGCTCTTGAAAAGTTCGTTTCTTCCCCATCCATCACTCTCTGTATGTGTTGAAGTACGTTCGTGAGCTTACTTCAGTTTTGATCACGTGCAAATTATGCGCTCTCCTCCTTCGAAGCCGTCGAACAAATAACAACATCGAACAATTGACAGCATTTTCACCGGCATTGGTTCATGGTCGAATAGTTTTGGTCGACCCTTGTCGACAAGTGACCAACAACAACGACGACAAACAAATTTCCAAGAAAATAATAATAGAACAAAAACCATTCGGCCTTCACGCATGATGTCATCCAACCATCTAGGCCATATTCTATTTTCAAAAAAAAAAAGTAAGAAAGGAAGACAAACGCCAACGATCCGAAACCAAATTGGATTTTCATTAATTCGTTTTGTTTTCGGTTTCGGTCGTTCTTTATTCATGTATCATTCGATTGGTTTGGCATATCTACACGGCTAGGCCACAATCGTTTGTTTTAAAATTCATAAGCTATCCATAATAATTTACTCGTTTCAAATAAATCTTTACTGTCAATATGATGGCGATAGAGAGAGAGAGAGAGAGAGAGAGATAACAAGTAGCGATGCTAAGGTATGACATAAAATATGTGCGTGTGTCACATCGACACAAAAATGCGTCAGTGCGGACATCGAACGCTGCTTCTAATATGAATGGAATTGCATAAAACCACTTTCTATGGTGGAAATGCGTGCAATGTGAGCCGAAATCCATTGCTGTCAATTGAATATTATCTAGACTAGATTTATTGAGGTGCGGCCACATGAGCCGCCTCACCCAGTCGAATAAGACCTGAATGCAAATGCACGGCTAAATGCTATCACGGGCGAGATCAAAATTGAAGCATCTCACAACAGAAATGAGACCAAAGTTTCAGTCAGAGATATGGATAATAACAACAACAAAATCAACAAAAGCACACTGATGAAAACCATTTGCTCAATTATTCTATAAAATGAACCCGAATGCCGTCCAGCATGAGAAGTATAAAACAATGTTAGAAAAATGGAAAATATGAGAAAAAAAAATTATATTCGATAATAATAAGTATTTGTAAATTTGATGCAAAATGATTTTCAAGCTTCTTTTTTTAAAATTGCATATTTGGAAATTAGACCACTGCGTTGGTGGTCATCAATCCAAAGGGGTTTAGTCAAAAAGGCAATCATGATCAATGCAAATTGTGAGCTGAGCATTCAAAGCAATCATGCGACACGAAAAGCATACGAAAGAGAGAAAAAAGAACAAATCTACGTAAAAAAAATATGATGAAAGCAATTAAAACTGCAACAAAAAAAAAAAAGCAATAATCTTTTGGACGGTCTTATACTTATTGGATGCAAAGCAATTCAAACAAAACAAAAATATGTGTATCATTCATTGCAATACAATTCTTTATTTGCTCATAAAATCTTTATACATTGTCGATAAGAATATTAACTCATCTAAGTTTAATACGCAACACTGAACTCATTTCGTTCTGATTTTCTTCATCATTTTAATGTTCTGCAGAAGCTTCGTCACATACAAAACAAAACAAAACAAAATAAAAATCTAACAAGCAATAATATTTCCAAAAAGAATTGACAACCTCATGGGAATTTGATCGTCTGCCATCAATTCTTTTTTTTTCTATATAAACAAAAACAACACACGCAACGACGATCAAACGAGAGAGAAAAAAAAACCAGAAGCTATTAAAATAATATTTGTGATACAAAAGTCAAACGTTGGAAAATATAAAAACAAAAAGCCCTGCCATGAGCGCATTTTGACAATCCCTTGAAAATCGTTCGCCATTATTACTTCGTCTACATTTTCTTGTTTCATTACGAAGCAAAATCAAATTTTAGCCGAATTGCATTCATCGGTCTTTAGTCCATGGCAATTGCCACAACCCAAAATCATATCAAGTCAAAAACCGTTGAAACACATCTCTCTAATTAATTTCTTAGAGATTTGATGTTGAACAGTCGTTTGGAATGGACTCGCTTCAAAATAGTCAATGCTTTTATCGTTTAGAAACGTGTAGTTTCTAGACAGCACACAAACACATATACACTCTGTATAGACAATGAACAGCGAGAAAGATACCAAAAAAGATATATAGAGAATCTGAAAAAAAAGAGAATGCAATAAATTACGGAAATCCGGTCGTCGATAAATTAGCAAAATTTGCTACTGACAAATTTTGATGCAATCATTGCAGCTGGATTCGTGTGCACAATTAAAAAAAAAAACCTCTTCCTTCAACCCACATAGTTTGTGTGTTATACGATTTGTTTTCCACTTGGCGATAAAACGATTATTCTTGACGAAAGCGCGCGCTGCAACACTCAATTTTAGAAACATTACCATCAGACACTTCTGTATACAGGACACTTCATCTATTTGCTTCATGTTCTATTTTCCCCCGCTATAATGCAATATGAAAACAAACAAAAAAACAAATTGCAGCAGCAAATTGTCCACACATTTTTCCCACAAACACTCACACTCACGCATACACTCACATCAATCACAGAAGTCATGAACTCATGTCAGATTCATGTTATTTCCCAAAAAGCGCATGGATACATTGAAAAAAAAAATGAGTAAAATCCAACAGAAATTAGTATTACACAATATATACGTATATAACACATATCATTGCAAACAAATAAAAGAAACAGAATTTAATGGTCAAGCTCAAGCTGGTGGAAAAACAGTTTTTTTGGTCTGAATAACAAACGAATGAAAAAAGAAATGCAATTTGTAACAACAACAAAAAAATGAAGAGATGAAAAAAGAAAATCACACAACGTATGTTGGTAATCAGCTTCATTGAAGCCGAAACATTGAACTTGTTTAGTCATTCGCATATATACACACCTACCCACCCACACATACAACAATGCGAATATGCACATATCAAATCACTGAAATCGATTAATAATCAACCGAAGAAAAAAAAAAAACAAAAACCATTTTTTGTCTCTCTTTTACAAAACGAAAAAAAAAATAAATTAAATCCAACAAAACAAACAAAAAAACGATAAAAATCGTATCAAATTCAACACAAACACACACACACACACAGCAGCAGCAAAACTAAGTACATAGAGTATCATTTTTATTTTTGGCATGTAATTTTTAATTCAATTTGTAAGCTAAAAAACAACAAATCAAACTTTACTTTTAAATGAAAAATATACATATATTGTACGTTTAAAATGAAAAATTTTCATCCATAAATAATTGCGTTTTATTTGGTTGTCTTGTGAATATGCGAGTCTTGTTGGTTGGTTGTTTCGGTTTTTCGATAGAAGGACACAAGGTGAAAGAAAGCATTTCATGGTGTTTTTGACCCGTTGACATTTTCTAGCGATATCCTGTGTAATGAATTCAAAACGTAATCGATTTTACTACACGAAGACACTCACTCACTCTATCACTCGTTGTCTGTCCCGTTTTCGCTCTGGGTCCCTGAGTTAGCTATCTACGTGGCGCGTAACAAATGTTCTGTAGCTGCTGATTGTTAAAAGCTGATTTAGATTTGTCAACGTTAGAAAGCTCCATCGAAATCGATAACATTGAACAATTTGCGACCCCAAGCACTGTCACATATATTCGTTACGACGCACAAGTGCAAAGTGGTTGTTTAAGTGCAAGTTCATAACGCTATCTAACGAGATATGAGAGGGATTTAACTTTGATTATGGATGCTCGAAAATGCATACACTGTGACGATTTTAATGAGTATGATTGTTGAACAGCAATCCAGTCTATCGGATCGAGATAATTCCTTTATGCGAATCTTTTAGTGTTTAATAATAAAATCGGGACATTTAATGGATGGATTTCATTTTAGCCAAAGGAGGGACCAAGAGAATATTCCGTAACGAATCCACTTTCATGCGTTTGCAATATCAACAGGGAAAAAACTACCACGTTCCATCTGCATGGTTTACATTTTGAATATTCACCAACTTTTTAGCACTACATGGAATGTAGAATACATGGAATATAGGCTATTGCATTTGTTTTTTTTTCTTCCCAAGAAATTTTTAAGACTCTTTAGGCCATTTTTTTTAGACCGAAAATTAATTCTTTTTTCTATATAAAGTTCTAATTTGAAATAAAGCAATTACGCCTAATTACAAAAATATAATAATGTCATGTTCATGTAATTCATGTTTGAGATAACTCAAAAAAAATTTAATATTATTTTAATTTCCAATGTGAAATAATGTACAATCCACGTTCACATTATCATTCCCAAAACCAAAATAATATAATTAATAATACCATAATTTATTTAATTAATATATATTAATATTTATTTATGTTTCCATATGATTTATAACTAAATTGTTTAATGTTTCTCTTACATATTTAATTTTATCAAAGTAAAAGTTGATCTCCAGAAAAAATACAGTCCGGGTCGAACATTATTGATTTTGATTAAAATAATTTTCATAAAATACAGAAATGACTACTTCGATTGAAACTACATTCCATGTAGTGCTTGAATGAATAATTTGATGGAAAAATCAAATTAACGTAAAAAAAAACCATTTTAAACAACGCAAAAAGAACGCAGAGAGGAGCGAAGCGACGATCTGCGGTCTTGTTTCTTATTACTTTGAATTATCACTTGCAAAGAAGGATAGAATGTGTTTGGCCTTGTTTTGATGCTGCGTTGAGCAAAGGCAAGCCAAATCCCCAATGTATACACTGCCAGTTTTGATTGTTTTGAAACTTATTTCATTGGTTTTTAATTTGTTTTCTTTTTCCGCACGCAAAATCTGCTTTTGTCCAGATAAGACCGTTGCGTTCATCGTATTACGGCTTCTGATCATACATGTGTCAAATAATATGCCTATGCTTTTTTCTTCACTTTACTGAATAGTCCATAAATACGAAGTGGTCGTAGATAAACAACGAGGAGGGAAAGAATACACACAAACACCAAAACTTCAAATTACTGACGAAGCGATTAAAATTGGTTTGGTCGAACGTGCTGCCATAAAAAGGAAATTATTATCGCACATTTTATATACATTCAAATCATAGGCGAGAAAGAGATAGAGACGGTGAAAACAGTACGGAACAGTTTCACAAAACATTTGCTCAAGTTCAACAAGAGTGGCTTATATTTTATTTATAATTCAATTAAATTGGCTCATTTTTTGGATTCACTTATCTTTTTTTTATATACAGTCATGGACAAAATTGAGCGTATGCCTATAAATTTGTGTTTTATTTTTTCCAGTAACTTTTCATCTCAAATGTAATATATCAATGGGAAGTACATGAAAAATGAATAACATTGGCAATTTTGAACATCAAAATTGGCCGGCCAATAGGCGGCTTATGGCCCTCGGTAAAAACGGCCAAAAATTCAACATTTTCCCCAGCCGTTCGATTTAAAAAGTTTAAATGCAGTTTCGAAGGCCTTCAGGAGCAGATACTTTTAAACGCTGAAAACTTTCTGATTGGTTTCAATTTGGCCAAGTTATGGCCGTTGGAAAAATGGCCGATTTTTTTCGAAAAATTAAACCAAGCGTTTGATCGCGAAATGTCATATGTCGTTGGAAAGCCCATTTAATGAAGATAATTTTAATAGTATAAAACATAGAAATGGGTTACAATTTAACCAAGTTATAGGCGTACGAAAATTTTCGTCAAATTTTTTTTGGGTTTTCCAACGGCCATAACTTGCCCAAATTGAAGCCGATCCGAAAGTTTTCAGCGTTTAAAAGTATCTGCTCCTGAAGGCCTTCAAAACTGCATTTAAACTTTTCAAATCGAACGGCTGGAGAAAAAGGCTTGAATTTTTGGCCATTTTTACCGAGAGCCATAAGCCGCCTATTGGTCGGCCAATTTAGATGTTCAAAATTGCCAATGTTATTCATTTTTCATGTACTTCCCATTGAAATATTACATTTGAGATGAAAAGTTACTGGAAAAAATAAAACACAAAATTTATAGGCGTACGCTCAATTTTGTCCATGACTGTATATATATATATATTTGGACACCCTCCCTCGTCAATGCTCTCCCATTCGCTATCCCAATCGTTCCCCCGGTCTCTTTCTCTATATCTCTTGTATTCTATGCGCATATTGCTATCACGTTTGACTACGATGACTACGCCAAGTGTCTGTATACGAAGAAGTGGATCTAATGTCGACAATGGAACAATGTGCCTCAATGCCTAGCATCATTGGCCGACGAATAAATTGAACCGAATGGCGTGTGCAGAATATGATTTAGTATAGAACACAGAAGCCGCAGGCAGTATTTTAGACAAGAAGAAGG